AGGCATACTGCTAATACCAGAATGAAAGCTGCAAGAGAGGATGAGAGATTGAAATTAAACTGGTGCTCTTCAAAGCTTTGTAAGGGATCTTGTTGTCCTGATTGGTACACCAGGAAAAGAAGGACATTCTTTCTCCTTGGGACTGAATTTTGGTGCATTTATTACAAAGGGACAAGCTACGTGTGTGTAACACTGGGAATGCTTTCCTGGGCTATGCACCAAGCTGGGATTGAGGCCCTGATTCCCTTTATCATCTGTGCCCTTCCCTCATGGACCAGACATCACCAGCCCTACCCTGAGCAACCTGAACCCAGGGCAGGGGACTGACCACAGCAGAAATCCCACCACACTGCCATAGCTGCCTTTCTGCTGTCTCCACCCTGCGGCTTCAGCCTGCCCTGGAAAAAAAGGAAGGAAAGATAAGGAGGCCAGAAAGAAGGTTCAGGTGAGGATGAGTTAAATATAGATTTGAAAGGCTGAGGGAAATCTCTTGCTATCGCAGAGACAACTGTGGCCAGTAAAATGTTTGGCTGTGGTACAATTAGGGTGATATCTGGCATTCAGAGGATGGTGGTGGGAATTGGAGGCTCCAGGGAAATGCTCCTTCCTTCCTGCTGTGCTGACAGACCTGGAGCTCAGATTTAAGGCAGAGAGGGTGAGCTGGCTGCAAGTCCTTTGCTTATGACCACAAAGATGGCAAGCCCAGGCTCCCTCACCTCCGAGGGGAGTCAGAGCTGGATCCCCTGACACCATCTCCCAGGATTGTGAGGGCCAGAGCAGTTGGCCACCCCTTCCCTCCAGTGCTGAATAAGCTGCTAATTTTAACTGGGAGTGACCTTGAACAGATTGGGGGGGGGGAAGGAAACTCTGGAGAAAGGAGGTCTGGAAGCAGCCTAGGAAAGGAGAACCCATGGCAGGTCACAGTCTGTCTCCAGTGGTGGGCAACCACAGATGGCATGGGGAAGGGTGCAGGAAGAGCCCTGGGAGAGCAGAACAAGGAAATCAGGGATTTAGAGACTTTCAAAGCCAGGGATGGTGTTGTAACACCTGACTCAAACCACTGAGGGATGGGCAATCATCCAGAAACAGCTCCAGCCCTTCTGCCTGCAGCCCAGCAGGATGGAAAGGAGTGTCTGACACATCCCACAGACCTCTCTGGAGTAGCCACGGGCCCTGAGTGTTTAAGGAAAATGGTCTTCTTAAGCCCTATTATCCATGGAGGGTTTTTCTGGCTTCTGGCAGAGATGGAATGTTGCACTGAGCAGCTGGTGGGGGTGGAGAGGATTTTGTTTGGGCAGATTTGTTGTGGACTCTTGTCTCTGCTTCCCACCAGTAACACATCTCTGCCCTCTGCCACCCTGGCTGTGACACATGGCCCCAACCTCTCCTTTGGTTGGGGTTCTCAGGGATGGCCACTCACGCTTTTCAGACCCACCTGCAGCTCCATCAGCCTCAGGAATGCTCTGAGCCAAGACTCCTTGGGGAAGCAGTGCAGGTGGAGTCTCCCTTGGCTGTCAGCGCCGGGCTAACCAGCTGCCCGGCCAGGGAGTGAGCCCTTCTGGCAAAAAGTGGTCATTGTTCCCTTTGGTGGAGCAGCTCGGAGGCCACAGCTCAGCCTGGCAGGACACTGATGCCCTTGTTTGCTCTGCAGTATTTGCCAGGGGATATTTGCTCTGCTGTGTGTGGGTGGAGGGAAAACAGAGCAAGGTGAGGGCTCCTCACCACCTCCCTCCCCTGGCAGCCAGGCCTCGATTTTCAGGGGCAGCGTGGCAAGCTCCAGGCACCCTGTCCTGCACAGAAGGTGGAGACACTTGGATCCTCAATTTATCACCCTGGGAGAGGTCCTGAGCTCCTGGCACATGGCAGAGGGCATGTTGGTGAGCTGTGCCTGCCAGTGCTGATCTGCTCAGGACCAAATAAGAGCCCAGTATGGGATGACATTGAAAAAACCCAAATCCCAGGACATGAGGCAATGGCTTTAAGCTGAAGTGGGGTAGATTTAGATGTTCTTCTTGGTTAGGTTCAAGAAGTGAATTTGAGAGCCTGGATCACTTTTATCACGTTTCTCCTGCTCTGACACTCACCTGGGAGCCTCTGGCTGGAGCTCATCCCTGGTGAAGAGACACCTCTTAGGCTGCCAGGTTGATATGGGGCTGAAGGGGCTCTTCCAGAGCTTCCTGGTGGCATTGGAGACATCCTGGTCCCCCAGAGCTTCCTGGGCTGAAGGTCACAGTGAACACCATCCCACTTCACACCTGTTTTTTTTTTACTGAAATCCCTGACTACATGTCCAGGGTGCAGGCTGGAGTGCAGCTCCTTTTCTCTCCAACTGCTCTGCCCCTGCTGTGGTGGAGCTGTGAAACCCATTTCCCAGTGGTTTTGCTGGACACTGTGTAAAACCATGGCTGCTCATGGGTCTCACCTCTCCCTCCATCCCCTGGAGAGGCTCATCTTGGTAGCACAGCCCCAGCCCACTCCTCTAAGCAGGGGAAGATTTTCCAGTGGCTTCTTCCAGGGCTTCATAGAGGAGAATATGGAGCCAGGTGAGTGTCTGCCCCAGAGAACAAACTGAACACATGTTTGTGCAGCATGAACAAAAAAGGTTGTGGTGTCTCTTGTAGAGGAAGCAGAGCTTACAGACTCTTGTTATGTTCACCCTGGGCTCGCTCACGTGCTGCCACTGGCCATAAAAATATCCATTTCCTTTCTAAATTGAGCTACAATACTTGACACTTTGGCCTTGGGTGATAATGCAATGTACAAGTGCTCAGCAGACACCCTGCAACTCTTCTTCCTGGTTTGTTCCAGCACAAATAGTCCACAGTTTTCACTTCCATAAAATATTAACAGCCAAGGAGTCAAATAACTTTCATCTGTATTTATTTTCTGCCTATCACCTCATTAACAGAAATCTACTAGTCCTTCACAGAATTCCTGGTAGCTGGGAAAGACCAAGCTGGAGTTCAAGACAGTTCCTTCAGGTCCAGTGAAATTATTGAATAAATGGCTTTATTTTTGTGGTTTAAAATGGGTTTTGTATAATTATAGCACATGTAACTTGTCTCTTGGGCACCATGAAGGTACTGGACCAAGCCTGATTCATCTTTAATTAGTTCTAGGACTTACTAACACTGTGTTCATGGGGTGCAGGTTGTGAAGATGGAGATCTTTTCCACAGCCCAGTGTTTCCCATCCAGCTCCAGTTCAGTCCTAGAGGGGTGCAGGTCTCCCACAGACCCCTGTCCACCAGCCCTACGGAAAAATCCTGGACACCCTAGGGTTTCTCCACTAGATCTAAGATTTCTGAGGCTGGATTATCTCACCCAGTTCCCTTCTTCCTGAGCCTGGGAGACTTCTTTTCTGTGGGTCTGCAAAGGGGGGAAATAAATAGCATTTAAAGCCAGGCAAAATGCTGTTCATGCCAACACAAGCACCTTATCCCATGGGAATACGCTTCGGAAGTGATGGTGGCATCAGGAAGGGGAATTTTGTCTCATTACAGGTGACAGACGGAGACATTCTGGCACTGAAGATCAGGACCTTGGACTGATGTTTGCTGCCCAGCTGTCCCTACAATTTGTGGAGAATTTTCCTACTCCTTTTCCTCCCAGGTTCTTTTGCAGCAGTGGCATGAACAAGTAATTCTGTGTCCTGTGTTGGAGATGGTCTGGTATTTTTGCTGGCAGATGGGTCATAGAATCATGGAATGGTTTGTCTTGGAAGGGACCTTGAAGATCATCCAGTTCCAACCCCGTGCCATGGGCAGGGATACCTTCCACTATCCCAGGTTGCTCCAAATCCCGTCCAACCTGGCCTTGAACACTTCCAGGGATGGGGCAGCCACAGCTTCTCTGGGCAACCTGTGCCAATATTATACCAGACTCATCATAAAAAATTTCATCCTTTTAACTGTCCTAAATCCACCCTCTTTTAGTTTAAAATCATCACCCCTTGTCCTATTCCACAGATTCTGCCAAAAAGTCTGTCCCCACCTTTCTTACAAGCCCCCTTTGATGTTTATAAGGTCTCCCTGGAGATTTCTCATTTCATCTCTGTTATTTCTTTTTCATTGCATCCCTATTACACTGTGAAATGCATCCTCTGCAGCTGGACTCAAAATCTACTTCATGGGGTAGAAAACAGCAGATGAAACAACCTGGAGAGATATTTCTCAACATTGTAACCTGAAGGAGACTCCACCTGTGTCCCAACTTGGTGCTCACTCCTGTGGTCCTCACACTCCTTCCATGTGCCATCTCTACCTTATTTCTTCGTTCTCCACTCCCCAGCCCAGTAAAACTCCGGACTGGAGACCACCCTGCAGCCCGTTGTGGGAATTCCCCCGGAACTGCGGGTCAGAGATGCACCAGAAAGTAAGAAAGTGGCATTTGAACCCTCCTGGTGCTGGGTACAGAGAGGGACTGGGGGGCTGACATGATGCTGCACCAGGAGCTTGTGCAGTGAAGGCACAGACAAGAAGGAGGGGTTTTATTTCTGCGTTTTTTTATTATATATATTTTTCATTCCCAGGAGCCGCTCGGATTTGCTGGGAAGGAGGGACATCTCGTGGCCACGCTACGAACGTCTCTCCTGCCTCCGATGGGCTGCACCTCGAGAATCCCTCACTTCCCACCGCGGGTACCACCTCAGCATCACCCCGTGATTCCCGGGAAGCCCCGCAGCCTCCATGGGATGGAGGCGGGCACGGGAAGCACAGGTGCTCACTTCTCACCTTGATGCCCGCATAAAGAAATGTGAAATGGCAGTATCCACGTTTTTATTAATGACTTGGGAAAGAGTGGGGGCATCACCTGGAGAGATTTCTCCAGAGCTCGGAAGCCTCGTGTGGCCCAAGGAGGTGCAGACAGGACACGCTCCCACCCCTGCCCGTGGCACGGAGGGGGTTGTAGTATTGCCAGCAGCGGCATCAGAAATGGGGGGGAGATTCTGCACCCCCTCACACCACCACCCCCACCCCGGCCATGGTCCCTTCTTCCCAGGGCTGCAGCTGCAGGGTTGAGGGGCTTTTCTGTGTCCAAGTGGGCCACGAAGAAATTAGCTGTCCTTCCTGGCGGAGGAGATGTCTGCAAATTGGGTGCAGACCTCCAGGGCGGATGAGGAAGGAGCTGTGACATCTCTCAGCCGCCTCTTTAGTCTCTGTGACAACCACAGAGACGGCAGCATCGTGTCCCTCCTCATTCCCCGTCTCCCAGCGCATCGTGGGCGGCACAAGGGAGAAAGGGAAAGTACCACGGGGTGGTGTCTTCCCTCCAGCCCTGTTGCCAGGTGCTGGTGAGCGGTGGCTTCACTGCTGAGGCTCCGGCTCGTACTGCTTCTCCGTGGCCGTGTAGAAGTCCTCGAGCACCGACTGCAGGTACTCGAAGGTCGGGCGCTCCTCGGGTTTGCTGCGCCAGCACTTCAGGATGACGCTGTAGAGCTCCGCGGGGCACAGCTCCGGGCAGGGCATGCGGTAGCCACGCTCCAGGTTGCGGATCACCTCGGGGTTGGTCATCCCTGGGGGGAAACACAGCCCAGCAGGAGTTATTCAGCGTCCTGGGGGTGAAGGTCGGTGCTCCCAGCAGCTCCCAGCCAGGCAGAGCTGGAGGGGCACAAGGGGCTGCAGAACAATCCCTTCTTCAGGGTTGTGATCCCTCCTCCATCCCTCTGTCCCTTCCCTGACTCCCCTCTGTAAGTTTGGCTTAGCACAGGTATAACTGAGGCTTGTGGGACCCTCAGAAAAGGAAACCCAGCATGAAGAGCTCCTCATCATAAGAAGACATTGAGGGGCTGGAGCGTGTCCAGAGAAGGGCAACAGAGCTGGGGAAGGGGCTGGAGCACCAGGAGCAGCTGAGGGAGCTGGGGGGGCTCAGCCTGGAGAAAAGGAGGCTCAAGGGGGACCTTCTTGATCTCTGCAACTCCCTGACAGGAAGGTGGAGGTAAGTTGAGTTTGGTCTTTTCTCCCATGTAATAAGCAACAGGACAAGATGAAACAGTCTCAAGTTGCACCAGCTGAGGTTTAAATTGGATATTAGGAAGAATTTCTTCCCTGAAAGGGTTGTCCAGCCCTGGTACAGGCTGCCCAGGGAAGTGGCTGAATCATCATCCCTGGAGGGATTAAAAAGATGTGAGGATGTGGCACTTGGGGACATGGGTTAGTGCTGGGCTGGGCAGTGCTGGGTTAATGGTTGGGCTCAGTTTAGAGTTCTTTTCCAATTTAAATGATTCTGTGATTCTAAGAGACACTTGTGTGTGTCTGGGCACACTTCAATAAGTGCCTCCAAGCCTAAAGCATCACCAGATGCTTGGAAGTCCATGGACAAATCCTGTATTCCCAGTGCACTGTACCTGGATAAGGGATCCTGCCATAGGTTATGATCTCTGTCAGGAGGATCCCAAAGGACCACACGTCAGATTTGATGGTGAAAACTCCGTAGTTAATGGCCTCTGGTGCCGTCCATTTGATTGGGAATTTTGCACCTGTCCAGAGGAAACAAAGGGAGTTTGAGCATCTCCCTCGTGCCGCAGGCACAGCAATCAGTTCCCCAAAACTGATCCCCAGGTTCTGTTGGTTATGATTTTGTGATTCTTCATAGGAGAGGGGCTCCAGCTCTTGAATCATCAGCATGGCCTCTTCTGGACCTGCTTCAACAGCTTCATGTTCTTCTAATGTTGGAGATCCCAGAGCTGGATGGGGTACTCACAAACAATGTCTCTGTCAGCTTTATTAGAGGACAACTGTAAGATTTTATTCTGTACAGATTTTCTTTGGTTTTTGCCAAGAGAAGTTGGATCAGATGATCCGTGAGGTTCCTTTCCAACCTGGTATCCTACGATTTTTTGAGATCACTCACTGCAAGGGAGCTGTTTTTATCAAAAGTGCATAAATGATACAGCAAATATAAACTCTCCAGTTCTTAAAGCTGCATAGCCCACTGTGGACAGCAATGACCATAAGATTGCTGTTTCAGTTTAGCTAAGACCAGAAAAACCAAAAAAAACCAGCTCAAACCACCTTGATAAGTGGGAACTGATGTTGTTAGACTGCAGAGGAAACCACATTTTTATTTATATACATCCTTTCAGGACCGAAAATCCAACTGCAGGGTGTGAAAGAAGTGCCTTGGCTGTTGCACATCACACTCTGACTGATGAGGTTCAGAAATGCAATCTATGAAGTGAAAATTGCTCAAAGCAGCCAGAGGGGCAGCTGTCATTTCAGAGTAAAATTAGCTGGGAAAATGCTAATAGAAGCTGTTTTCCACTGGAAAAGTACCTCCTTTGCTTATTAACACAATTATACTGATTTCATCAAAGCTTCTCTTAAGGATAAAAATTGCCTTAAAAAATTGCAGCAAAGTCACAGTTCCCTTTCATGACATTTTGCAAATTATGTTTGGGAGCTTTTACTACTTTGAAATAGTTTTACATGTTGAAATGGGCATAATTGTTATCATTAAGTGTTTTGGTACAGGAAACTGAAAGGAAAGTTTCCTATCTCACAAAAAAAAAAAAAAACAAACCAACAAAAAACAACCATTCAATTTTGTCTCCCCAGAATACTTTTATGGGGAATTTTCACTTCATCCCAACTCTAGAGGAGGAATCTTCCAGCAAGTCCCACTTATGCCAGACTTAATTGCTTTATTTCAATCCCTTCTGCTTGTTTCCCTGATGCTCTATAAAATCTCTTTGCAATATGAATAATTTAATCTCATATCTGACCTCAGAGCTCATTGATCTTAGAGGTCTTTTCCAACCTTAACGATTCCATAATTCTGTGTTTTCTAAGCTGTCCCTCTGTTATAGAAGGGACCTGATCTGGTCTGGGCTTGCTTTGCCTGGGACACCTGGAAGCTGCTGCTGGGTCCAGTTTCATGGCTCCAGCTCCCCTCTGCAGGGCAGTGACAAAGTTCTCCTCCTATTTCCTTCCCTTTGGACTTGACTCCCTCTGAGCATGTGGACCCAGTTGATTTCATTAGCAGAGGTCACGTTTCTCCAGCAAGCCAACCTGAGATTCTGCAGGATTCCTCCAAACAGTGCCAAAAGATTTCTTCCCATTTCCCTCTGCAAGTCTCGTTTGTTCTTTATTCTCCCCAAGTGCTGCTGCCTCACTGAGGAGCCAATTTTTGACTCTTTCTTTCTCTGTGTCCTGCCTGGCTGCTGACAGCAGCAGCAACGTGGGCTCACGTCTCACATCATCAGTGCCCAGTGCCTGATCCCAGCCCAGGATCCTGGAATGCCTGCATGGCAAGGGGATGGGAGATAAGGGCACTGTGCTGGTGAGGCAATTCTAGGAACAACACCCACCTTCCTGTGCCAGGTATTCATTCTCAATGATCCTGGCCAGCCCGAAATCAGCGATTTTGCAGCAGAGGGTCTCCGAGACGAGGATGTTGGCGGCTCTCAGGTCGCGGTGGATGAAGTTCATGCGCTCGATGTAGGCCATCCCCTCTGCCACCTGGAGAGGAGGAAGAGTCCATCTTCATCATCACCTCCCCACGAAAACCTTGGCTGCCTTTTACCCACCTTTGCAAAGCACAGGGTTGCTCACGTGCTTCCACGTGCATGGACATGAGTAAGTGCTCCACGGATGGATGGACGGGCAGGTGGATCAACAGACGGACAGATACATTAATAATAGATATTTCCCATGTACATGTGCTCTGTACATTCCAGCTGTACATTCCCATGTACATTCAGCTTTGCCAGCACAGACAGGGCCTGACAGCTTTGAGCAGACAAGTCAAGCAGAACAAAAGCACTACTCTCTGTTTTGCTCTGGAGTTACAGCCGTGAGCTGTGTCTTGTCTGCAGCAAGAGGCAGAAAGCTGAAGTAAAACTGAAACCACATCACTGGATTCCCAGTTTCTGCCACAAGTCTCTCCTCTCTGGTGGGGATTTTAATCATAAACACTCCAGAATAAATATGTGAATTAAGAAAAGAAAAAAAAAAACCTAATAATAGAATCAGAGATTAGTTTGACTTGGAAGGGACTTTTAAAGATCATCTACTTACAAACCCCTGCCATGGGCAGGGACACCTTCCACTAGCCCAGGTTGCTCCAAGCCCCATTCAACCTGGCCTTGAGCACTTCCAGGGGTGGGGCAGCCACAGCTTCTCTGGGCAACCTGTGCCAGGGCCTCCCCACCCTCACAGACAACAATTCCTTCCCAATATCCCATCTAACCCTGTCCTCTCTCAGTGGGAAGCCATTCCCCCTTGTCCTGTCCCTCCAGGCCCTTGCCCAAAGTCCCTCTCCAACTCTCCTGGAGCCCCTTTAGGCACTGGAAGGGGCTCTGAGGTCTCCTTGGAGCCTTCTCCAGGTGAACACCCCAGCTCCCTACAGTACAGTTTTCCCCTCTGACACCTACAGGATGTGTAAGATCAGAAGACACAGATATCCATAGAAATATGACCTAAATAGAGAGTATATGCCCAGAAAAATCCTTTGTCCTGGGCATGTGCTACCCTCTTCAACCATCTCCAAATTATACTTTGGAAGGTTCTTGCTCCCAAGACCATCTTACAATATTTATGTCCTTAGAGCAGGGAGGTCATCATGGAATCACAGAATCACAAGGTGGTTTGGATTGGAAGGGACCTTAAAGATCATCTAGTTCCAACCTCTCTGGCACAGGCAGAGGGACACCTTCCACTATCCCAGGTTGCTCCAAGCCCTGCCCAACCTGGCCTTGGACACTTCCAGGGATGGGGCAGCCACAGTTTCTCTGTGCCAGGGCCTCACCACCCTCACAGGGAAGAATTTCTTCCTAATATCCAATCGAGGTGCCTGGTGTGTGATGAGCCTCTATAAATGACAGCAGCAGTCTTTGATTGATGAGTGCTGGGAGCTTGAAAAGAGAGATTGATAAAAAAAGGGATTGCAAGTTTGAGTCTGAGTTTTGGGTTGGGCATTTATTGGGGAGCTGGATTCATGCAGTCCCTGCTAGCAATGGTTAGCACTTATTAGAGCTTTGATGTGCCTGTGGGTGAGGGCAGAGCAATTTTCCACTCCATTCAGATTCACATCATCGTCTCAGCTTACATGTGGTTTCAAACAGGATACTCACATGTACTTTCCAATGCTGCATTTCTAACCTGTGTCAACACCCCTCCAGCATGAGTGAAATGGAAGAATTGATGTAATTTCCTGTCCTGATGTTAATGAGATAGTACCTGGTGATGGGCCTGCTCCAGCCCAGAGTGTTTTCAAGCTTTTACCCTCGAGACTGACCACAGGATCAAGAGCCTCAGCCCAGAGATTTCTAATTTTAGCTCTGATAGATGTCACTGGGTCAAAATATTGCACCTGAGAGGGTTTGGTGCCTGTTGGGCTGTGATGCTAGTCCAGCACCACAGATAAACACATTGCACAATAGCTCAGAACACTGCCTTTTCCTCCTCCTCCTCCTAGAGATACCCTGTGAATGTTTGAATCCATGCCCTGGGGAGGTGGTGCTGGGGTGGGAGGGGGAAGGAGGAAAGTTTTCCTTCCAATTGACGCCCATTCCTCGGGGATGGGCAAAATCCTTCCTACTCCTGTGCTGGGGATGACTTCTGTGGGTTATTACATCATTGGGGTGGGGGGCTTTGGTCTGTGTTCAATTATCCTGGTCCTGGTGTGTGGTGCATTTTGCCCAGAGAGACGGTGGATGTCCCATCCCTGGAAGTGTCCAAGAACAGGTTGGATGGGGCTTGGAGTAACTTGGGATAGTGGAAGGTGTCCCTGCCCATGGCAGGGGATTGGAATGAGATGAGCTTTCAGCTCCCTTCCAACCCAAACCATTCTGTGATTCTGTGATTCTACAACACTGCTCTGGGTCACTCCCATGCAGACTGTTCTGGCCACTGCACTTTCCTCTGGCATAGAAGAGCATCAAACCAATTTCTAGGGAATGCTCCCACTAATCCCAAGGGCTCTGTAATATGAATTTGGGTCATTTTCCTTATCATCAGGAACTTAAAACACACCTCAGGCTGCAACTTTCAAGAGAGGGAATGAAAGAATGAAAAAGGGAGGGAGGGAAATGAGGAGGTAAAGAGAAAAGGAGGGGAGAAATTAAAAGAAAGTAAGAAATTAATTTCTTAATTAATTTAAGGGAGAGTTTAGTTGGCCCCCTGCCCTCCTCCAATCAACAATGATAAAGCTGCAGATATGGAAGATTTATCAGTGGTGAAGAAAGAAGGAACAGAAATGTGATCCTCTCCACCACTTTGAATGGTGCAAAGCAAAAATGACAGAAGGTGGCACTGCTTAAAAGTATTTAAATTTTTGCTGTCATAAAACATTTGCTCAAATATTAAGATCCTCCAGTTTTTAATTAATTTAAAAAATAACTCTGTGTAATGGCTGGAACCAGCCAACCAGCCTTTACACATTGTTTCCTCCGGCTCACTCTGACCCATAGAATTCCCATAAAAATGATTTTATGGGTAAATCCCAGTCCTTTATTCAGTTGTACTCATCCTGATGATTCACTTTGTTTCCCAATACTTCTTAATTAGCCTAACTTTGCTCTGGGTGAGCCAAACTCTGACAGCATCTGGCTAGGATCAAAGTGGAGTGATTTTACCCTTCTCATCCTTCATATGGTTTCCCTATGGTTTGACCTATTTGTGTTTAGAGTCACTTCTGGACTAAAATGTTACTGTGCAGCTGCAATTTTTAAGATTTACAGCCTGGGGATGTTTTACCCTACAAAGGTAAAGGTTTGTTCTTATAAGGAGCAATATTCCCAGATTTGAGGGTCAGAACATCCTTTATGCTTCATCATCAGAAGGGAAAAACTGCTCAAAGCCAGTGTGTGTCTACATTAAAAATCTGTTTGTTGCACTTTTTCTCGTTTTTGTTAAAAGAAAAACAAACTTGTTCCCTGCTCAGCAAGCCAGGAAAGCAAAACAAATAAAAACAGACCAAAACAAACCCAACCCCCCTAAAATCCCCCAAACTCTAGATCTCTAGCACTGCACAAAGCTTCCTGGGGCTGTCCTAAGGGCAGCTGAGCTTTGCTGAGCTCACATGCACACAGATACGAGAGGGCTGGAGAGAAATCCTAAGAGGACACACCAGGAGGAGCTGTTTTCCTCCATGAAATCCACACTCTGACAGACTTCAGACTTGGAAGAATTTCACTGAGGCCATAACAAACCCTGAGCCCGTTTCCCAGTGGCTGCTCACTAACCTGAGCAGCTATGTCAATGAGCTTGGGGAGGCTCAGCTGGCTTCCTTCTTCTGTCTTCAAGTAATCCAGCAAACACCCTGCAAAAGAGGAGAGACGCTGCTGAAACTCTTCTATAAATCTAATGAATCATTAATAATAAATCTAATTAATAAATCTATACATTTATTTTCCCTGGTGCTTCTCAGAATATAGGCAACACCTCTGCCTGCATCCTAGAGAAAGTCTGAGGAACCAGAATGGGTGCCTGCTGGAGCATCTGCCCATTAGAAAAGACCCCAAACTGAGCTCCATTTCTCCTCTATTTTGCACAGACCTGTTGCAAACTGCTGGGCATTCATCACTCAAATCCTTATAGACAAGAGGGGAAAAAGAAAAGACAATTTCGCCATGAGGGGAGTAAAAATCTGACACAGACTTGCAGTAGGAACAGTGGAGATGAGAACTTCAAATGCTTTTCAAATACAGCATCACCATCACGTGAAGCAGCTTTTTTTCATCACCCAAAAAGTCCCTTTGTGTAGTAGAAACAAACTTTTGGGTTTCTTAGTCCTTCTGCTTACAGGCTTGGTACAAAACCCTCCTCCACAGGCCTCAGTGAGGGTTTTTACCATTGGCCATGTACTCTGTCACGATGTAGATGGGCTGCTTGGTGACCACTGCATATAACCGGACCAGCTTGTTGTGCTGGAGCTTCTTCATCAAGTTTGCCTCTGCCAGGAAGGCATCAGGATCCATGCTGCCCTCCTTCATGGTCTTCACAGCCACCTTGATGTTGCTCTTGTAATAGCCTGCAGAGAGATAATGATACTTTGAGGAATTTTGGGTTCTCTGCGGGCTCTGTCAGGCTGGGCAATAAGGAGAAGAGCTCATGGATCAGGGAGCAGAAAACCACAGCAACAGCTTGGATCTCTCATAAAGAAACACATGGTGAATCCCTGTGCCAGCAGCTGTGAGAGGAGAAGGGAGACACAACTGTCAATCCATGTGGCTGCATCAGGGATCGTCCCTGCCCATGGAATAAGCCCATCCTCACACAGTCCTCCCAACCCTGCAAGACTCTTTCTGGATGAAACCCCTGGGGCCTCCCACCAGCTGGGTTCTCAAATGATCCAAATGCCATGAAAAAAGCCAGGACTCTGCGCTCAGGACGTGAACTCAGCCTGGTCCTGTCCACAATCTCAATTGTCAAGGCAACCAGTAACCACAGAGAGGACAGCAAAGGAAGCTGAGCTCACTCCACTTCCTCTCCCACTGATTAGCAGTGGGCAGGAAGGCATCAGGGATTCAGATCTGGGTTAAAAAGTGGAACAGGGAAGCATAAAAAGTGGGAAAATGTCACCCAGGTACCCTGCTGTGTGTAACCTACAGTCATGCCCAGGGTTCATAGGAAGAATAAGAGCATATTTCAGGAGATGAGTATGCAGTTACTTCCACACCTATCACATGTCTCCAGCTTGTGAAACCCTTGCTCAGCCACTGATCTGTGCAAACACAAGCTGTCCAGTCCTTCCCAGGAATATGGCATCTTCTTCTGTGTGTGTCCCCATAAATAAGGGTCCATACTTAAGGATTCCCACTCCTAGAATAGTCTTAAGGAAAGAGGGCTTTCCATCTCCTCTCTTTATGTATTTCTTCCCTGGAATTGGAGGAATTATACTCACCCATCCACACTTCCCCAAACTGCCCACTGCCGAGCTTCTTCACAAGCTTCAGAGACTCCCGTGGGATCTCCCACTCATCCTGTGCCCAGGGTCTCTGGGGAACCAGGGATGTGCAGGGAGCTGTGAGGCGCTGGCACAGGCCATCCCCTCTCTCTGTATGAGGATGAAGCACAGGACAGTTCAATGGGATGGCAGAGCTAAACTACTCCTCTTCCTCCTCCATTTACACATGCCAGGAATATTGAGCCCATAGGAAAATCTCCACAGCCACACAGGGTAGTGGTGGAATCACTGTTCCTGAGAGATTTAAAAGCTGTGTAGTTGTGGCACTTGGGAACATGGGTTAGACTAATGGTTGGACGTGATTTTAGAGGGTTTTTCCAACCTTAATAATTCAATGATTCCATGAAATGTTTCAGCCACGGGGATCAAGGCACCCAAAACGGATCCACTGAACGGAAAAAGCTCAAAGGGAGCCACAGAGGAGCAAATTATTCTGCCCAGTTAGGCTAAACCCTGCTTCCCAAGCATCCCTCCTGCATGTCCCAACAGCATTCATCTCTTTCCTTTCCTTATTGGAGACACTCCCTGATTTTAGGGCTGTGGGCAGAGTTCACCCTTGCAGTTTCTCAGAATGAAAACCAGGACATGGGTGTCCAAGCTCTGCTTGTAGGAGCACACCTGGCCCATGACAGTGGGTGGAGCAGACGTGATGTCTCACAAGCCTCTCCTCCTCCCTCTGTCCCCAGTTTCTTCTAGGACACAAATCCATCAGGGAAGGCAGACAACTTACGGCAGTAATGCTGGATGAGCTCTGGCAGGCTGGAGAATGTCATCCTGGGGGAGATGTAATATCCCCCCCCATCATCCAAGGAGCGGATCCGGTAGTGTTTGATGATGTCCCCCTGGGCAGAGTTGCTGTCTCTCACGGACAGGGAATAGGCACCTGGAGAATGAGCAGAAGGAATTGCGAGAACAATCAGCACCTTCATCAGGGACCAGCTCCCTCCTCTTTCCTCAGCTGCAGACACCCCTTCCAGCCCTTGCTGATGCCTTGTCAGGGCTGCAGAGACTTCCCTCTCTCCAAGGCAAGTGGAGAGGATAAAGGTTCATCAGAGCTTGACTGGTTCTGTCAAGGCTTTGTTTAGCAAGACCTGCCTATGCCATGGCCAGCAACCCCATGGAAGCACTGTTGGAATCAATAACACATCTCCAGACAGGGCAATCAGATGCTCCCTAGCTCATGATGGTCTTTCCACAGTTCTGTATCTCCCATCTGAGCTCTGTCAACCCCAGCACCTCACAGAATCATGAAATCACAGAATGGATTGGCTTGGAAGGGACCTTAAAAAGCATCTCATTCCAACCCCCTGCCATGGGCAGGGACACCTTCCACTATCCCAGGTTGTTCCAAGCCCCATCCAACCTGGCCTTGGACACTTCCAGGGATGGGGCAGTCACAGCTTCTCTGGGCAACCTGTGCCAGGGCCTCACCACCCTCACAGGTAAACATTCTTTCTCAATATCCCATCTCACCCTGCCCACTTTCAGTTCAAAGCCATATAAAGCCATTTTCATCCAGATGAAACAGGTAACTGCAGTCTCACCAGTCTGTAGAAACACAGGACTGACAAGGGGCTGAACCACCCCACCAGCACAACCAGAATTTTGGTGGGAGAAATAAGGCCAAGAAATACGTGTCCCTTCTCAACCTTATCCAAGGTCCCTGTGTCCCTGTTATCCCTTATAAACTGTGTGCCAAGGTCAGCTGGGAGGTACAGAAAGGGGGTTCAGGGGAATTATCTTGTTCAGCCAAGAACTCGTGACTGTGGCTAAACCACATCCAGAGATTTCCATCTGGAATCATGTGCCTTTTAACCCCAAGGGAGCTGCTCAACAGTCCATCCCTCCAACTGGCTGTTCTCTACATGAGAATCTAAGCCACGGGGTTGGTTTTCAGTGCACAAAAGCGTCACTAGATGTTGCTACTGAGCAGCTCTTCCAGCCCGTGCCAGTGTGATTCGATACAGCCTGAGCGGTGGGTTTTTCCCTTTGTCTGGATCAGATTTCCGGAGTAAGTTGTTGCAAATTGTTACAAGTCTAATACGTCACCCCGGGTTGACAGACTGCCTGTTTTAATGTCTGCAAAGGCAAGGCTATATATATTTAAAAGTAGGGATCTGTCATGCAGGATCCTAAGCAGAAGCAGGGCTGTCCACAGTGACTCTGAAACCCTAATCCTGCATGGGAGGGGAAAGTTTACTAACATAAAACCCTCACTGGCTGCTGTTTCTCCACCCCAGCACCAGCAGTTCCCTGCACTGTGCCTGGAAACCATCTGCATTTATAAAAAGCAGCAAAAGAAAACCTCCTCTGTGGACATTTGCTGTGTTGCAGTGATTATAAAGGTTTACAAGCAGAGTTTGGGAGAGCCTAAAATTCTTCCAAGTGCCAGGAATTGTTTTGAGGGGACTCCCTTCCTGCAGAGACCTGACTAAAATATCTGGTGACATAAAACTCCAGGAAAAACCTGCTGGTTTAAATGCAGAGCAAGAGAAGAACAAATTGGAAGGTCATTATTCTGAATATTTTCTTCACCATGAGGAAAGATTCAGAAGAGCAGAAGATTCTTCATCAGGCAGAAGACAGAGAAGCCCTTTAGGTTCTATCAGTCCTGCAGCTGAACAACTGAGAAACAGCCCTGAAAAGTCTTCAGTGGGGCAATAAAACCTCCAGGGAAGGGCAAAGGAATGGCTCATTTTTGCAGGACATGCCTTAGTCACCAAACTTCACTGCACAGCTCAGGATATTTTCCCAAGGAGTGATTTTTGGTCCCTGGTGGGTGCAGGGAGGTGTTGCTGGGAATTGCGTCTGCAGTGCAGAGCAGCACAAGTCCTGCTGGAGTTTGAGAGCCACATTCACATTCCTTAGTACTTGGGCCCAGATCTCCTTTGGCTCCTCTGTGGTATCCATGTGACCCTAAGTTCCAAAATAATAAATAATAAACATAATAGGCAATAAACATTAAGGACAAAGGTTGGATTTCATGATTTTTGAGGTCCTTCCCAACCTAAATAATTCTGTGATTCTATGAAGAATACAACAATGGCAACACCTATATATCATTACTACTACCACTATTATGATTATTATAATTATTGTTATTATTATTTCTACAACTATTATTACTATTATTAACTTTTATTTCTGCTGTTGAGGATGATGATGATGTTTTAATTTCAAAGGCTTTGGAATACTGTGCAGGCCAGGCTGCAGCCCTTCAGAGCTGGGCTCATATGGCACAAGTCCAAGAGGGTGCTTTGCACACCTGGGACATGGCTTAGGGTTTGTGTGGGATTTTTACAGCACAAGGACTGCTCAGGGAAGGAGCCAAACGTGGTGTGAGTGCAGCTGCACTGAGGACAGACAATCCTGCAGAAGGAAGTCCAGGAATTAATGACTAACATATCTGCCAGTGGGGGCCTGGGGGTCAGGAGTCAGCAGAGAAGAAGAGACCTGATCTTTTTACTACTGTGGTTGCACCCAAAATACTTTCTGTTCTGTAGGACCTCCTTTCCAGACCTCATTGACCCTTTAAACTCTCCTGCATCTTTCAAACACTGACAGGGTTGATCTCTCAGCTTCCTGCTACCAGTGTTAATCCTCACCCTGTCATTAGAGTCAATGCTGTATTTCACCCCAAGTCACAATTCAGTTTGCTGGACTGAGTGTGGCAGAGCTTCCCTGTCACTCTCCATGACTGGCTACTGTTCCCTTGGGAGCTGCTGAGCAAAGTGAAGCACTAAGGCTGCAAAGATTTAATTTGCTCTTCACAGAATCACAGAACGGTTTGGGTTGGAAGGGACCTTAAAGATCATCTCGTTCCAACCCCTGCCATGGGCAGGGACACCTTCCACTAGACCAGGTTGCTCAGAGCCCCATGAACACAACTGTACCTTGCCCTGGGAAGCTCTGGGTGTCAGACCCTCCTGTTCCAAGTCTGGGATCCCTAAACCATCCTGCAAGGGTGCTCAGCTCCTTTCTGTTCGCAGCTTTGTATGGAAAGGAGCAGCAGAAAATGTAAAGGGTGAGTTTCAATCTCACATCACACGTGGGGCTGATTCAGTCACCCAAACATGGGTGTTTGGTACCACTTCAGATGCTCTGGTACACTGAGGGTGGTGAGACCCTGGCACAGGTTGCCCAGAGAAGCTGTGGTTGCCCCATCCCTGGAAGTGTTCCAGGCTACATTGGACAGGGTTTGGAGCAACCTGGTCTAGTGGAAGATGACCCTGCTTACTGCAGGAGGGTTGGACTAGATGACCTTTAAAGATCCCTTCCAACACAACCCATTCCATGATTCTGTGATTCTGTGATCTGCATGGGTTTGGCAGACAAGGTGCAAAACCCCACCTCCTTGTGGAGCACCTGGAGATGGCTCTAAGATGCCTAGGATTTGACAACCAAATCAAGGCTACAGTGGGAGCTCAGGCTGTTATATCTGCATTTTGGTGCTGCCTCAGACTGAGTCCCACAACACGTGGCATCTCCTCCTCCTATGGCTCTCATCAGTCTCTTAACTCCTTCGCCATGGGGATCCAGGAGCTCAGCTGGATGCAGTGGCTGAGCTCAGAGAGGTCCCTCCTGCCGGGAGCACAGACCCAACATTCCTACTGGGAACCAGGAGCTCGTGACTCGGCACAGCTGTGGGGATGTGCTCCTGCAGGCTTTGGAATGGTTATTACTTCAGGGGGACATTGGTTTATTTGCAGCAGCTTCAGCAAGGCTGGTGCCCCACCGATGATTTCACAGTTCCCAGATTCTGGAAGTCACTTGGTCTGTTCAGCTGGAGAAGAGGACACTGAGGGGAGACCTCATTGCAGTTACAACTTCCTCAGGAGGGGAAGAGGAGAGGCAGACACTGATCTCTGCTCTGTGGGGACCAGTGACAGGACCCAGGGAATGGACTGGATTTGGGTCAGGGCAGGTTTAGGTTGGATCTCAGGAAAAGTTTCTTCCCCCAGAGGGTAGCTGGGCACTGAACAGGCTCCCCAGGGCAGTGGTCATGGCACCAAGGCTGCCGGAGTCAAAGAAGGGTTTGGATGATACTCTCAGGCACAGGGTGTGACTCTTGGGGATGGTCCTGTGCAGGGCTAAGGGTTGGACTCGATGATACTGGTGGATGCCTTCCAACTGAGCATATTCTGTGATTCTGTGATGAATGATGTGTTTCCCACAGTGTCTCCATCTTCCCCTCTTCCCAGGATGCTGAATGTGCCTTGCAGGGACTCTGCAAAACATTGACTGAAAGCGAAGCCCCTGGGTTTGCAGAGTTTCTGTGTCTGAAACCACGAGCAAAATGAAACTCTGCTTAGGATGGGCTGGGAATAGATGCTGATCTTAGGCAGGGTGCAAAATCCATCCCAGTGTGGCTGAGACAGCCCAGTATGACACAACCACCTTCCAGTTTGAGCAGCTCAACCCAGTGCTCGGTGCTGAAGATCAGATTTTGCTGGTGATGTGAAAAGTGAATGAAAATACAAGTCATGGGGAAGGAAAACAGAAGGAACCTGTGAGGTTCAAAGGGCAGAGTTAATTCCATGATGTTGCTCTGGACATCTCTTGGTGGGTCACAGGATATTTTACATTAGGGAACTCAGCTTCATGGCACATTTGGAGATGCAGGGCTTTCTTTTTTCACTTCTCTTTAGAGAGGAGGAAGATGTGGTTAAGAAGGATCAAGTGGTGTCATCATGGCCATTCAGGCAGCCTAAAGCTCAGGGTGCTCAAGTAGAAGCTGAGAGCACAGGATGATTCAGAGGATGAGGTGTTTGAAGGACTAAGAGCCATATCTTACACTAAATATCAGAAAGGGCACAGGTGAGAGTCACATTTCAGGGCAGAAGGTGATCTCTGAGTATTTGGGACTAATATGGGGCTTCCATGGAGTGGAACCCACCACATCTGCTAATGCAGAATATCACATATCTTCTAGGCAGCAGAGACAGGGCTTTAAGGATCTGGTTACTTCTCCTTGAATCTCAGGACTGCACCCCCTCTGTCTGAGCTCTGTGTGACCCAGACCCACCCACACCCTGGAAAATTGCAGGGGTATTATTCCATCCTGTGTTTGCAGCTCGTGGCAAGCAGAGATCTGGGCCAATTGTCCTGAGCAAGGGTAGGGAAGGGTCTGATCCCATCCACGTGTGGCATCTAGAGATGCCACAAAGACCAGGATCATGTGTGGACAGAGCATCTCACTTCTTCCCAGACCTTCAGATACAACACACAAGTGTTTGTTGGGCTTGTGAAGGGAACGTGTGTTGCTCCCTACCCTTCCTGGGTGAAATGCCAACTCCTCAAATATCCCAGCAAACAAAGGGAGAGTGGGAAGGGGACAAGCAGGAGACCAGCATGTGGTGAAAAATCCAAGCCTGAGCATTGCAAAGGCACCACAAAGGGAGCAGGGAAACCAAGATATAGCAGAACAAGTGACTTGCAAATGAAACGCTTAAAAACAAGTCTCTTCAATGTTTCCTGACCTGAGTCTTCCTTAAAAATTCTGAAAACCACAAATCCTCATGGAAAGCAGCCCACCTGCTTGGCATCAGCTCAACAGGGATGTGTGGAGGTGGGCCCAGGCATGGGGCAGAGGGGGGTATTCCAAATAGGATGGCACATTGCTGACAGTGCCTGATGGCTTAGGGAGACAGATACAGGAAGATGAGATTCCAGCTGTCACATCCAGACTCTGGCACTATTTAATTTGCTGGTAATGATGTATCCATGGTGGAAGGAACAGATCCTGCCTTGGAGAAGTCCCATGTGAATAGGGAGAAACAGAGACAAAAGGAGGAAGGAGAAGGTACAGTAGGCAAGAACCAGTTGTAAGATGGATGATTGTTCCCACTCTTACTGTTTGGTCTTGTAGAAGTGTTTGGGAAGCGAGTCAAAGAAAAGAAGGACACATATTACTTTGGATGGGTGCTCCAACTCTACTGATTGAGTCATGGTTGGACTCGATGGTCTTAGAGGTTTTTCCAACCTAAATAATTTTATTATTCTAAATAATAAGGGAAAACAAACCCCCACTTTTTTCTACATGTCAAGGAAAGACTCCTGTATCCATTTCACAGCAAAGAAACCAAATCACAGCTAGACTGAAATACTTTCCTCAACTACTGGATCTGGTTCAGAGCAGAACCATGAGATCACCATGAGCATCGTTTCCTCCAAGCTGTAAACACACAGGTTGGCCCAGAGGAAGCAAGGAGGAAAAAAAGTAGGAAAGAAATAACATGAAATTCCCATGGGACAACCCAAACTAACTCCCAGGCTCTACAAATTAACAGCACAGAATATGAAAATTGCAATTACATGATTAAGTGTTATGGTTAGTAACTATATCCACTGCCCAAGAGAGGTGACCACAATGCCCTGCCCTTTCCATCCTCATTGGATCATGTCTTCAAAAGTCAGACATGTTCGTATGGAAGGAAAGTGGATGAATCCACCTTCCCTGCTCCAGTCAGTCTCCTTCCAAAAGTTCTGGTTTGTCTGTATTTCCCCTGTTATACGTTATCAGGAAAAACATGTTTTCCCTGGGAAAATGTTCCACCAAAAGACTTCTTCCAAAATTCTGCGAATTGCTGTTGCAAACAGGAGAAACACTTCTTCAAGAGTGCACAGAAGTACCTCCCTTTGCCAAAAAAATGTAACATTTCCCTGGGAAGAGAAGGAAAAGAAAACCCCTACACACTGTTTTGGAAAATCCTTCCTGCTTATTTGTATTCCTGCGTCTCTGCCATGAAGTGTGGTGGCAAAAGCCACTCTTCCCACAGCCAAAACTACACAGATAAATAACATCCTGAGGAAATCTTTGCCAGATCCAAGAAACTCTGGCACAGCTGGACTTTGCAGCTCAGGTGTGGAAGGTTTTCCAAGCCCTGGCAATAAGAGGAGTTACCTTTGCTCTGTGGGTCTCACCTTGGCTGGTTTCGCTCTCTCGGACAAGGAAAGAGCCAACTTTGTTACCAGAGGACAGGAGCAGCCTTTCAGCATCTTTTCTGCTCAGAGTTCTAAAATACCACCTGGGAGAGACAAAAGGTAAAATCATCATTGAAAAATAAAAGGTCTGGGGGGAAAAAAAAAAAGGTCATTATTTCCAGTTAGTTCTTTTTTGGGTTTGGTTTTTGTTTGGTTTTGGTGGGTTTTTGTTTGTATATTTAGTTGGGGGGGGGGGGGTTTGTTTGTTTGGGTTTGTTTGGTTTGGTTTGGTTTTTTTGCCATTACATTGTGAAACTGAGGGTTATTTTTATCAGCAAATAGTCTGTTATCTGCTGGAAAGTGGCAGCAATGGACTGGTTTTGGTAGATTAACACCAGATTTTGGTCACTCTGGGCTTATTTCACAGCCTGGCAATTCAGACAGAGCAGGAAGTAGATGGGATGTGCAGGATCCCCTATTACAGGAGAAGTGCAAGTTTGGATACAAAGAACTTTTATGTCTCAACCACATTTCTGTGTGTTGCTAAATATTTACTGAATTCAGTGGTGGTTGGGTCCCTCCAAGAGGAGATTGCAGGCAGGACTGATCACTTATAGCTGAATGCCATAAAAGAGGATAAGTCATGGAAGAAAAATTCTTCTGCTGCATGTATTAGAGACATTATAAACTTTTTTGGCTCAAGTCTTTCTTTCCATCTTCCTTGCAGGGAGGCTGCATCTGAGCTAATGAAGCCAACAGCACCAGGCTGTGGGTCTGGGCATTGGCACTCAGTTGTTGGTGTTGTCCCTGGCACATCCAAGACCTGGATCAATGTACCCTATCCAGAGAGATTCCCAGTTTACACATGGATACCCTCTTGAAGGTTGAGGAGGTTTAACACTGTGCATGGGTGGATTGGCCCAGTGGGACCAGAAGATGATCCCTGGTACTGCTGATTTACCAGTGCAAACATGTCCTTTATGTTCTCTCCCTCAGATCCTTGTTTTCCACCGTGGGTGCAATAAATGGTACAGGAGTCTTTGCCCACTTTCCCCATAACAACATCACCCCTTCTCCTCATCCTTTCTTCACACCCATACAGTGCTTAAAACTTCTCCTGGACTTTTGGGCAGCCTTGTTTGGGATGATGAAAGACCTCTTGCCACCCAGCCCAGCCATGACATCTTCCTGCCAGCAAGTGAAGCCCTTTCCATAGCTTGTTGAGAGACAGGGCACTGCATCAGGGTTCATAAGCTTTCACACTTACTTTTCCTCTTCCAAACTGTTCACTTGTGCAACGAAGTTGCTGGGGATGTAGCCTTTCCTGCCACTGCTGAGGGACTTCGCCAGCCACCAGTCCCCATCACTGCAAAGTGAGCAGAGGAAAGAGTGTGAGTGCCTGGAGGAAGCTTAAGGACAAGGCTTGAGGCTGTGAGGGTATGGATTGTAGTGTTTAGAGCACTGCAAATAGACTAGGGCTCCTTAATCCACTCTATAGTTCCCTCTAGATTCCCTAGGATCACCACGAGGTTGAAGGCTGTTGGTCTCTCAGGGTCTTCTAGAGGTGACAGACTCTTCCTACAGAATGACGACAGGCCCAAAACTTAGCTATGTACCTCAAGTGAGAGGAGGGAAATCTGGGTCACTGTGGGTTTATTTTTCTTCTTGCAGAGAGGCATTGGGGCCCTTTTTGCTCCTTCCTTCACCTGCCAGACACTTCTCTCTGTTCTCCCACTGCTGGCTCAGCCACAGCCGTGACCAAAGGCCACCCCACATCCACAGGCTCTCCATCTCCCTGGCCTTGGATGCCAGCCCACACTGTCTGGGTGAGAAATGTCACCTCTGGAGGCCACCAGGGATGCAGCAGCCCTACAAGGTCTGGGGGACCCAAGCCCACCTCTGCCCTGTTATGGGATGGGCCCCTTCTGTATGAGTTTGAGAAGAAATTGAAATGAAACCACACATCTGTCTGGCTCGATTCTGTCCTTTCCTCTGACTACACCCAACCCACATCCTTTGCAAAAGCACCATCAGCACAAAATATGAAAGAGGACAGGAGCTATTTTTTTTGTTGTTATTTATGGTGCTTCTGCACCCCCAGCATGGAAGGTCCCAGTACTATCCAGGCTGGGACATTATGCAACGCCAGAGTGTCTGTGACCCATGGAAGTGTCACCTTGCAGAGAGACACCACCTTGAACATTCACACTCTGGAGCAAAGCTCAGCTCTAATGAGCTGCAAATTGGTGTCTGACCCCAAAGTTCCCCTTCTCCCAGTCTCACCATGCTCATCTTTGAGCTTCCTTCTGGCAGAAGGTCACTTACTTGGAGAGGACTTGCAGTTTCTCCCCCTTGACCAGCTCCAGGTCACGGTCACTTGAGGCAGGAAAATCGTACAGTGCAACCACAACCAAGTTATCTGAAAGAAGGATTAACACCATTGGATCCAGCCTGTTCCCTGCTGGGGGAGTGATACCCTGCTGGGTATGTGGTGGGGCATTTCAGCCCCCCAAACATGGGGGTCTGTCACCCCCACTGTCCCCCCAATCCAACCTTTGCACCAACCCAGCTTTCCTGCTCACCACAGCCTCTGCTCAGGCATTAACACCGATCCACCAAAGGCTTCCCTGTGGATGTGTTTTTAAAGCACTCCAGACTCCCTCATTCACAAAACACAGTGTGTCAACAAGAAAAAAGGGTTTGTGTGGAATAAGAAGGGTCATAAATAACCTGTCAGTGTTTGGCCTGAGTTTCACACGACAGTAAATGAAAACTGTTGGAGCAACATTTCCCAGCGTGGCTCTGGAATTTGACTCAAAACAATGAGGCTTTCTTGATTGAAAAAGGTATAAAGGCATTTCTGTTTCTGTCACTTGAGCCCATTTCTAGGATTTAATTCTCCCTCCAGATGCTCTGGGCTCTACCAGTATCTTGCCATCCCTCTTGCACATTATTCCTTGCAGATCATAGAATGAATTAGAGAATCACAGATTGGTTTGGGTTGGAAGGGACTTTAAAGATCATCTGGTTTCAATCCCCCTGCCATGGGCAGGGACACCTTCCACTATCCCAGGTTGTTCCAAGCCCTGTCCAACCTGGCCTTGGACACTTCCAGGGATGGGGCAACCACAGCTTCTCTGGGCAACCTGTGCCAGAGCCTCACCACCCTCACAGGGAAGAATTTCTCCATAATATCTAGTATCTAACCCAAACATGCCTTCTTTCAGTTTAAAACTGTTGCTCCTTCTCCTGTTACATCTGCCTCTATAAAAAGTCTCTCTTCCTCCTTTTTATAAGCCCCCTTTAGGCACTGGAAGGTGCTCTAAGGTCTCCCTGGAGCCTTCTCTTCTCCAGGATGAACCACCCACCTCTCTCAGCCTGTCTCCAGAGCAGAGGTGCTCCAGATGTGCCACCACAATCAGGTCACTCTGGTGCTTCCAGCCCAGCACCTCTGTAGCACCTGCCTGCTCCACCCAGCTGCAATTCCCACGGGGGCAGTGGATGCTCCAGGACCCCTTTCCCTCTGCCTGGCCCCGATGCACTTGAGGCGCTCCAGAGCACAAACCCCGCGCTCTGTGTCCCTCATTTTGCTTAAAACCCATCTGGACTGAGGCCTAAATTTTGGCACCTTGTGCATGTGCCAGGATGTTCTGAGCCACCCTGGGGCAGAGCTCTGTGGGGCAAGGCTGAGGGGTTTGGTTTGCATGCCCAGGTCGTGCAACTGTTCACGTTGCTGCACTCGCAGCTACTGAAGCAGAAATGAGCAGCTATTTTGGGGAAGAGCAAAGCTTATAAAGACGAGCAGCACACACAGAGGAACAAAAATGTCAAACCTAAACACCTTGGTGAGAAAGGAAGGGGAAGAAGAAGAAGAAGGAGAAAGAGAAGGGGAAGAAGGAAGGAGAAGGAGAAGGAGAAGGAGAAGGAGAAGGAGGAGAAGGAGAAGGAGAAGGAGGAGAAGGAGAAGGAGAAGGAGAAGGAGAAGGAGAAGGAGAAGGAG